TGCTGCCCAACACCCCAGTGCCAGCCTCCGTGGCGGACTGTGGCATCCCCAGGCGTGTGGAGAACGACGAGCGCAATGCTTCCCAGGCTCCACATTCGCTGTTCGACAGCGTCTCATCCGAGCTGCTGCGCTGTCCTCGCCAGCAATTCCATCAGCTGCGCCAGTGCATGCTGTCGGTCAGCGCACCGCATGCGGATATCTATCTGGTGCTGCGCATTGAGAAGGTGCTGCAGTGCAGCATTGCCCAGGCGGCCGAGCCATATATGAAGGCCGCACGTGATCCCAAGCTTGGCCAAAAGGTGCACAAGACGGCCAAGAGCTGCGCCCAGCACATCGGACACTATCGCCAGCCTTTCGCCTGGGCCGCCCGGCCGCTCTTTAAGGCCTACAGCCATGAGCTGGACGTGGACTCCAACTGCATATGCGAGTTCAGCACCATCTATCGACAGGAGCTGCCCAAGCTGCGCGATGAGGAGCTGCTTAAGCTGCTGGCCGACTACCGCAAGCCGGAGAAATTCAGCAAGCTGAACGTCATACCGGGCTATATGCGCCTGCAGGTGCAGTTGCTGGATCAAACGACGCCCTGCGGCTTGACCAAGTCCCTGGCGCCCTTGTCCACCTTCAGTGCCTCCGCCAAGCAGCCGCTCACTCTGGAACTCGCCGAGTTTCAGAGCCAAACCGAGCGTGATGCGCATCCCTATACCAGTTTCTGTAACCATCTCTATGTGTATCCCCTGAGCCTTCAGTTCGATAGTCAAAAACTCTTTTCACGCGCTCGCAACATCACAGTCGTCGTCGAGCTGAGAGATGGCGATGGCGAGTACAGTAAACCTCTAACGGTAGGAAATCCAGTGTTGAATCAAATGTATAAACTAATTTCTGTATTTTCTCTTTGCTCACAGTGCATCTATGGCCGACCTGGCCAGGAACTGTTGGTCTCGCAGATCGCCTGCCCTGTGCTGCATCACAATGTGACGCCCACGTGGTATGAGGAGATCAAGCTGCGTCTGCCGCTGGGCCTCTTTCCGGAGCATCATTTGCTCTTCTCGTTCTATCACGTCTCCTGTAACCTGAGCAAGAAACGCGATGCGCACGCAGCATTTGAGACGCCCATTGGCTATGCCTGGTTGCCGCTGCTGCAGAAGAATCGCATCTGTCTGGAGGAGCAGCTGCTGCCCGTGGCAGCCACGTTGCCCGTTGGCTATCTCTCCATACAGCCGCTGGGCTGGGGTAAAGGGGTAAGTTGTTGCTGTCGTCGCTGCTTGCATCGATCATTGACTCATACATCGTGTTTTGTGTTTTTGATCCACATCCATTCCGTGCTTGCCTAACCAAAAACCCGCTCTCTGTATTTTCTTTTCCGCACATTCTCTTCATGCACTGCATCCGTAACTACTACCCCACCCTACGGCCGACTACAAACCCTTTCAATTTCTCAGCAGAACTGCGGTCCGGACATTCAGTGGATCGACAATCAGCGAGCGCTATTCAGCGTTGGCCTACGTCTGGACTCCACGGTGCTGACATCCGATCAGCATTTGCACAACTTTTTTGCCCACTGCGAGCGTCTGCTGGAGGGCGGCAAGACTGGAGCCCTGCCCGCCGAGACGGAGACCTGCAAGATTCTCAAAGCGGCGCACGCCATCGACATGCGCTCCCTGATCAACTTTCTGCCCACGCTCCTCAACGAGCTGTTCACGCTGCTGGTGCACACGCAGTCCGAGGAGATCGGCCTGAATGTGATACGTCTGCTAACGAACGTCATACACCAGATCAGCGATGAGGCCAAGCGTACGGAGCTGCTCGCTTCGTACGTGAAGTATGTGTTCCATGCGCCCTACTACAGTCAGCAGACAGCTCGATCGCGCACCGTGCACGGCGAGCTGTGCCGCCATCTGCCCTACCTGCTCAATCCCAACAACACGGACTTTCTGATCGTGAACAAGTTTATGCGCTACTCCTCGATCTTCTTCGATCTGATTGTGAAGAGCATGGCGCAGCACCTGCTGGCCACGGGTCGCATTCGCATGCTTCGCAACGAACGCTTTCCCAAGGAGTATGCGGATCGGGTGGAGCAGCTGGTCAAGGCGCTGATACCATATATAACAACCCGCTACGATGATCTCGGCGAGGAGACCCAGCTGCTGAATCGTTCGCTGGCACGGTTTGTCCGGCAGTGCCTCAGCTACATGGATCGCGGCTTTGTGTTCAAGCTGATTCGCTTCTACATGGAACAGTTCTCGCCTGGCAATCCGCGCGTGCTGCACGAGTATAAGTTCAACTTCCTGCAGGAGATCTGCCAGCACGAGCACTACGTGCCGCTCAATCTGCCGTTCGTGCTGAATCCGAAGAATCGACCACCCGAACTGCTGCAGCATTACACGCTCTCGGAACAGTTCTGCCGCCAGCATTTTCTCTCCGGGCTGCTGCTGCAGGAGCTGAAGAGCAGCCTCAACGAAGTGGGCCACGTGCGACGCCATGCGCTGTCCGTGTTCAGGGATCTGCTGGCCAAGCACGAGCTGGATGCGCGCTACCAGCAGCGCGGCCAGCTGAGCCGCATTGCTCTGCTGTATGTGCCCTGGCTGGGAATTGTCATGGACAATCTGCAGCGCATCGATGATTTGTCCGAGTCGGGCGCCAGCACGCCCAACGGCCATGTCTATGCGGACTCGGCGTCGTATACGAAACGGCTCAGTTGCTCCAGCAGCTATGTATTCAGCAAAGACTCCTCGACCTTCGGCTCGCTAACTTCCACGCCACGTTCCAAGAATCGTCTCACGCCCCACGCTGACCATGCCAGTCCCTGTCGCACCTCGATGCACATCAAGGACCACAACTATCTGGCCGCCATTGCGGGCTCGGCGATTGGCAACGGCATCTCCAATTTGTCGCTCAACTCGAACTCCGATTCAGGCGTAAGCTAATTAGAAAATATATTCAATTGTCTATTTAAATTAAATAATTAAATCTCCTTTGCCCTAGCACTCACAGGACACCACAACGATCGGCGCTTACACCAATGGCGAAATGGACGTGGCCATGCGTAACGGTCACAATCGATCCGTGAGCGTGACCCATGCCCAGATTCTCGCACGCTGCGACAAGTTCAGTGCGGCGGAGAGCAAAGATTTGCTGCTCGGATTTCTGTTTATTGTGAAGCATTTGTCGCAGGATCAAATGGTCGCCTGGTGGCAGAGCTGCAACGAGACGGAGACACTGCAGTTCCTGTCCATTTTGGACTTGTGCCTACTGCAATTCCGCTACGTGGGCAAGAAGAACATTGTGATGGCCAGCGAGGCTCGAGTGCAGAGGCCGGCTAAAGCAAATACTCTACCCGCTCGCAGCACGCCGCCTGTGGTGGAGAACGGCAGCGCAGAGCCCAGCACTGGCACCCTCACCCAGACGCGTGAGCATCTGCTCGAGGACATGGATTTGTGCGCTAGATCGCAGCAAGCGCTGTACGAATCAAACCTGGCCACGGAGGTGGGCATGATCATACTGGACTGCCTCGGTCTCTACGTTCTGCAATTCCGCCAGCTACTCGCAGACAGTCTGGTGCTGCCCAAGCTGGCGCGCGTCTATCTGCGCTTCCTGCAGCTGGGCCAGTCGGAGCGCCTGTCCAAGCATCTGTTTGCCGCGCTGCGCGCCTTCATCAACAACTATTCGATGGCCTTGTTCAAGGGCAATGCAATGCTCTGTGGCCAGATGGTCTATGAGCTGCTGAAGGCCTGCGACAGCCGGCTGGTGCACATACGCCAGGAGTCCTGCGCCGTTCTCTATCTGCTGATGCGCAGCAACTTTGAGTTCAGCGGCCGCAAGGCGCTCACCCGCGTCCATCTGCAGGTCATCATCTCGGTGTCGCAGATGATTGGCAATGTGATTGGGCTGAACAATGCGCGCTTCCAGGAGAGCCTGTCCATCATCAACAGCTACGCCAACAGTGACAAGGCCATGAAGGGCACCGGCTTTCCCCTAGAGGTCAAGGATCTGACGCGACGCGTGCGCACAGTGCTGATGGCCACGGCGCAGATGCAGGCGCATCACATGGACCCGGAACGCCTGCTCGAACTGCAGTACTCGCTGGCCAACTCGTATGCCTCGACGCCAGAGCTGCGGCACACCTGGCTGGTGACCATGGCCCGCAATCACGAGCAGAACGGCAATCTCTCGGAGGCCGCCTGCTGTCATCTGCATATTGCGGCGCTAATGTGCGAATATCTGCGACTACGCGGCGGCTGCACCCTCAGCTGGTCCTCGACGGCCTTTGGCAAGATATCACGCAACATTCCGCTGGATGAGCAGGGCCTCAAGCTGGATGCCGGCGCCCAGGACTCGCAGTACACTGAACAAATGCTGCTGGAACAGCTGAAGCAATGCGCCGACTTCCTAGATCGTGCCGAGCGCTTCGAGTGCCTCGGCGAACTTTACAAACTCATCCTGCCCATCTACGAGCGCGCACGCAACTTTATTGAGCTGGCCCAGAGCTATGAGCATCTCACCCAGGCCTACAATAAAATAGTCGAGGTGAATCGGTCCGGCAAACGCATGCTCGGCCGCTTTTATCGAGTGGTCTTCTATGGCATGGTGAGTTGATCTTTTGTGAATCCAAACTTCCTGGAGCTGATATATTTATTTATATTTCAGATGTACTTCGAGGAGGATCATGCCATCGAGTTCGTCTACAAGGAACCAAAGCTGACATCACTTAGCGAAATTTCTGAACGCTTGGCCAAGCAGTATAAGGAAAAGTTCGGCGCCGACGTAGTCAAGCTCATAATGGATTCCTCGCCGGTAAGTTCGAAAAGAAATCAACTTGTTATTTATGATGAGGAGAATTCTTGAGAGCTCATTTATAGCATAGATAACTGGGTAGGAATGATTTGATCAGTAGAATACATACATATATAATATTTTATAACGAGCAAGTGAAATTGAAAAGCAGCTTGAAATATTTGCACACACTTATTGTGCTTACAGGAATACAAATTTTTATTGTGATGTTTGCTAAAACAAATATATATATAACAACATAATCACTGCCTCTATATTGAGTGCTTAACAATCTTATATAATTTGCAGCTTAAGCTCAGCTAAGTATAAAATTTATATATAGATAGTTATTCATGGATATAGGTAGAATTGTTTCGACCGGGCTAACAAACTAACTATACGATAACAATCAAGCTGCTTCTGCTGATTGACAACTCATTTAAAAAGAAGTAGACTGCTATACAATTGGACAGATGCTGTTATGAACAACACAATCATAAAACGAATCGGGGAACTAGCTCATTTGAACAAGTACTCGTTGAACTGGACATCGGTGTCGTTGTCGCCCCGCATTAGATTTAGGCGCTGCAAGAGGTGGAATTAGGGCGAATGTGATTTAAAATATTTCTCTTTTCGATTGTCAAGGCCAACTTACGCGCTTCACCTCTGACTGCCGCATCTGGGAGGCATGGGTGCTGCGTGGCGCCACAATTCGTTGAGCTGTTGCCGTACTGTGCTTAGTGCCCTGCGCCTGTCCTACGCCGCCTGTGCGGCTCAAGGTAGCTGCTTTGCTCAGTTTATTACTACTACTGGAAGAGGAAGTCCAATCAGAGACAGTCTTTCCCCTCTAATGTAGACTACTTACACATGGACATGGTCTGGCTGCTGCTTGGACGTGGCGAGCTGTGGACGTGACTCCAGCTTGCAATTCGCGGTTGTCTTGCTCGCCGCATTAGATACGATGCTTTGGCCAGTTTTGGGCTGGACGGAGAATTGGTAGGAGCGTTTAATGCGACTGCCATTTTGATGCACTCGTTCGATTGTCTTCTTGGCCGCCAATCCTGTTGCAGCAGTTGTTGTTGCTGCTGCATGTGTTGCTGTTGTTGTTGCATGTGTTGCTGTTGTTACTGCTGCTGCTGCTGAGGTGCSACTGCCGGAAGTCACGACTGCTGGTGAACTGAAGCGCCATCGCTGAATCTTGCTCTCTTTGTCCTTGTCCTTGTCCTTGTGGGTGGTAGCCTTACGAACTCCAGGCGAACTGCTCCATTTGACATGGTTGTTGACCTTGTACAGTTTGGGATAGACTGTGGACGCATTGTTCGGAGTTGGGCAAATGGTTTTCGGTGGGGCTGACGTTTTCTGCTCGTGTTCCTCTTTCAGCGACTTCTGCCCCGCAGCCGGATGCTGCTTGTTGGCCTTGGCACGCGCGTCAGCGCCATCGGGAGTCGAGTACCTGTAAACCTTCATGGTCGTAAACTCTGGCATGAACGGATCCCACTCGTAGCTCGACAGATCATCCTCATGAAAATGTGTCTCAGTGTTATCTGTGGGGTCGCTCTTGATCTCGCTGATTGCCAGTGGAATAGCGACTGGTACGGGATCAATTTCCATCGGTTCATCTCCGTTGCGAGTTTCGAGTCCGAGTTTCTGGCACAGCTGTTTGAATGCCTCCTGATAGCGGGTGCCGGCATCTTCATTTATGAGCTTCTCAAATGCTTTGATATCCTCGATTTGCCGATCGATTTCCATCTCAGTGAAGCTGCGTTTTTTGGGAAGAGCCGTGCACTTGGGACATATGACTGGCGCCTTTGCCTTGCTCTTCTCGTTCAATGCATCGCCCATGCGGTCCAGGAACTGTCTGGCTAAGTTATATCCAGGTCGATTCGATAGTGATCCATTCTCGTTCACTTCCAGGCGAAGGGAGGCAGTTTGGCAAAGTTGTTTGTCGAGCAACTGCCGTTTGCTGCTCTCCGGGGCCAAGAATTGAACATTGATGCCCTGGCCATTGGCGACCAGACTGAACTGGATCTGTAGCAGTGGCATGTTTGGGTTACCCAGTTGGTTCATCAAGTTGAATAGCTGACGTTGAATGCGAGCCAGCGTCTCGTCTTTGGTCATGTGCGGACCATCGCCGTCCGGCACATTGTTCACAAGTGTGGTGGACGAGCTGGCGGATGCCTTTGTCTCCTCTCGTTGATATTGGGGTTCCGCCTCCTCCTCCTCAGCATCGCTGCTCTTCATGTAGGATGGCACAAACTCAGCCGCGTTGGGATTGAGCGATGACTCGCTCAGGCTTCGACTGTTGCTCTTCATGCAGCAGTTGCTGTCCTCACTGCCCGCCTGCAGCGACTGGATGAAGTCCTTGATGAACTGTTGGTGCATCTCATTGCCAATGTCCATGTTAACCGCTAACTAATTGGCTGATCGCTATTCTAAATTGTTAACTATAATTGAAATTTGGTACTAGTGCACTCTGTGGGTATACAAACAATTTGCTATTTGTACGGTGCTATTTAGTTATAACATGGGTATTTTAGTGATATACATTTGAAATGATTGAATATATTGTAAAGCTGTTGTAAGCCGAAACACAAATGTTGCTGTGATATGCAAGCCCATGCCTCAGATATTCCAAGCAACTGTGATCGACATACATATATGTATGTATATTCGTTTTAATTTTTTTCCAAAATACCCTTTTTCTTTATAGTTTTTGCTATTGCATTATAGGTGCTAAAGCAGACATATAAATAGTTTAGCATAGACGAGAAGTTAGGAAAACAATATAATTCATTATCAATTTAAAATATTTTATTATTAACGTCTTAATCACGAGAATTCGCTCCACCTATCGTTAATGCTTCGAAGCTCACCTTAGAAAGGCATTAAGCTTTTTTTACTAGCGCCATCTATGCCTCAATTTCACATAGCCACTTCAGTTGCTTCTCTCAGGCTCTTATTGCCTTTTATGTGAATCGTTACGTTCTGTTCGCTTGCAGGTAAAGGTTGACGAATTGGATCCCAAACTAGCCTACATACAGGTCACCCATGTCATACCGTTCTTCACCAAAGACGAGCTCGATCAGCGCCTGAACGAGTTCGAGCAGAATCACGATGTGGACACATTCATGTATGAAACGCCCTTCACCAAATCTGGCGCAGCACGCGGCAGCGTGGAGGAGCAATGGAAGCGCAAGACGGTCATTAAGAGTAGGTTAAAGCTATGCATTCTGTTGTGATTGAGTGATGTATTATATGTATCCGTATATGTCTGCAGCCCGATATTCGTTTCCGTATGTGCTCAAGCGCATACCCGTCAAATCACGTGAGATCATCGAGCTGAGCCCCATTGAGGTGGCCATCGATGAGATGCAGTCAAAGGTTTCAGAGCTGGAGGAGATCATTCTGCCGCCGGCCGATGTTAAGAAGCTGCAGCTGCGCCTGCAGGGCAGCGTGGCAGTTACTGTGAATGCGGGTCCCCTGGCCTATGCACACGCCTTTCTGGACGCCAAGGTGATCAACAACTTTTCGCTGGATCGCGTTGAGGACCTGAAGGACGTATTCCGGTAGAGACCAACTGTTTACTGAATACTGAGAATATGCTTGATTAATCTTAAATTCTTTTCGAACTGCAGGGACTTTATTGGCGTCTGCCACAAGGCGCTCTGCGTGAACGAACGAATGATCAGTGCCGATCAGAAGGAGTACCACCATGTGCTGAAGGAGAACTATGAGAAGCTGTGTCAAGCGCTCAGTGAGTTACTCCAAGACGAGTCATTCCAGCCGCTTAGCGACGATGCCGACGCAGCCGCCCAGCGCAATAGCATGGCTTTATTCAATGCGATCAGTGGGGCCTCACATAACTCAAGTACAGCTTAAGTTCAAAAACAAAAACAAAATACCAACAAAAAACCAAACAATACCAATACCAATACACACTTATACGCACAGCTACTAAAAACGGTTTTAACAAAGCAACGTAGAAGCGTAATTTGTAGCATTAAACTCTATTGGGTGTTCCTTTTGTAATGATGTTTGATCTTTCACCTTTGACCTTTGATGTTTGATGTTTGATGTTGTCGTTATCGTTGTTGTTGTGGCAGGTAAACCTAGCAATGCGCCCCGTCCCCTGGTTTGTGTCTCATCTAACAATGCTAAACGCACGCATCCATACCACTAACGTCCAGGTAGTCATTACTAAAAAAAAAAAAAAAAAAATAACGCAAACTAACCGTAAACAAATGAATTACTAAAACAAAAAAAGAAACAAGCAAACATCTAACCTAACCTGTACTAATTGCTTGAACCCTATCGAATCGTCAGCCAATTCATGCATTTAATTCAATTTTACTTTCTGTTTTAGGTTTTGGTTTTGCCGTTTATTAAAGCCCATGCAAACCAGCAAATACCATATATATATCCCACACAAACATCTATATAGAATAATGATCTACATATACAATATACGCATATATTTCTATATAAACGACATATATATTTATATATATCGACACGCACACATCCACTCACACAGACAAACGAAATTGTGACTAATTTTTCGACCAGTTGACCAAGCTCCAGTACACTCGAAAGAGAAAGCAAAATTGTTAAGTTCATAAAATTCGATGAATTGTTATTAAATTTTAAGTAAATACATATTGTACATACATCTAAGAATGTTTTAACGATTGTAAATTTTGTTCTATTGATTTTAGTTTATTATTTATATATAATTTGTATTTATAGCTTCTTTTTACAACCATATACAATTATTTCCAGTGTGATGCATGCCTGCAGAAAATGAAAATATTTAAATACCTAAACGTACTTCCTGTTTATTAAACTCAATGATATCCTTTATTAGTATAACTCTGCTGTGTCTTCGACTTAAAAATTGTTTGATAATGCAATTATAGTAAACAGACCTAACTAAATCTACTAAGAGCTGCAGAACTGTGAAACAAATAATCTATATTAATTGGAAATCAAAATATTTAGCTTGAATATATAATAAATTTCAAATTTATTTTACAATACTATGCGTTAGCTAAGCAGCTCTACCAGAACAAATAATATACATATTTGTAAACCTAGACCTAAGTTCCAGAAGCATAAACAGAACTTACCAAAGTATTTAAACAACATGAATATACAATATATATTTACATGCATTTTCTAGTGAAATCGAGTACTAAATAAAATATTTGTTAAACATCAAAAGAAATGTGCAATAATTTTTGAAATTTTATTTTTTTTTTTACTTGCTTGGCTTTAACCAGTGTTGGGTAATTAAATAATGTTTCTTTTACATACGACAAATCATTAGCTTACGAACTATAAGTCCTGATCTGAAGTCAGACTGTTCTGTAAAATTAAAAGAATTAATTTACTGGTCCCTTAGTTCCATATGTCTCCCGTAATTATCTGCATATATATACATATATTGCATCAATATAGTTAATTTTAATCAGATTCTAATTGTCGGTCGCTTTCATGAGACTCAAGCGCTGCAAATGATCGTGAGAATATATAATCTATTTATGAAATTATTACACATTCACGGCGATTACCTTTTGCACCTGTGTTTGGCGCATTAGGGATGTATGCGTGCTTCGCGGCACGAACTTCTGGCCACTAGTCAAACCTTTTTTGATGATTTGCCCTAAACTTTGTCGAGGTGTATGTATGCCTTTATTCGATTTTTTCCTGAAAATAGATATTTTATATACGCCTGATTCAATTGATATATAATTGGATTACGTACTCAAACTTGGGCTCCTGCTTGGCATGCATGGTTTTTGCACGTGTCTCAGCCTTGGAACTGGACATCTTAATGTTTTTCCAGTTTCCAGATGGAGCACTCACGTGCGCCTTGCTGGCGATAGATGGTTTATCGAACGTGGGAAGAGTACCATTGATTGGCACTGGTTCCGGCAGCTGCTGCTTGGCGTTTTTTAGCATTGATTCCTTGGATGTTGTACTGCCCACCAGCTGTTGCACGACATTGGTGTCTCTGATAGTGGCACTGGAGCTGGACTTGCGTTTGCTCTCCACGGATAATTTGCTCTCGATCGAATGTTTGCTACTCATCGATGACTTCAAATCCAAGTACTTCTCATCGATTGGCTGTAGAGCAATTGTAGGACGGCCTGATCCCATGGAATCTTCGTTCCATTCCATCTTATCGTTAAGGACATCGCCCATGCGCGCCATAAAATTGGCGGCCAGCACATTGGGCAGTCTTCGTGGTATTAGGGAGCAGTCGCTCACATCCAAATGTAGGGCAGCATCCTGGCAGAGATTCTCGTCGAGCATCTGCTTGCCGGTGACGCCGGAAATATCGGCCTTGAACTGAACATTGATGCCTTGCCCATCGGCTGCCAGGCTCACGTTGATCGCCTTGAGGGGCATGAACTTGTCGCCCATCTGGTGGAGCAGCTCGAACAGCTGCCTCTGGGCCTGCAAATAGGATGCATCGCCGACTACTTCACGCTGCACCAGCGTGGTGGTTGAGGTTGCCTCAGTTTTTGTCTTTTGCCCACTCGAACGCTTGCTATTATCGTTCTTACCACACTTCAGATACGAAGGTATAAACTCCAGAGCGTAAGGATTCAGTGACGATTCGCCCTCACCATCGGACTCATAGTGATTTGGATTGGACTTGCTAATGATGTCCTGTTTTGTTTCGCTTTTACTACCCATTTTATTAGGCTGCATCACTATGTCCGAAACGTATCCCCAAATTGGTGTGGTCAGTTATAATATGGACAGTAGGTAGTAACTAATCTAATAATTTATTATTTATACTTTAATGTGTAAAACTGTATGAGTGTTAAGAAACTATAGATGTGATTCAAATGCTCGGCAATTTGGCAGCTCCCATGTCAACTGTTCGATTTAAAAACTATGGCATCCTAGTGCTACTAAAAAGTCCGGAAGCTTATTTTCATTTGTCCCAGCTGTATACGAGCATGACGACGCATCGCCGCTATTGTGGCGCCATCTATGTGTCAGATGCTCAAGCAACTGCAAGCGTTTCGCTTTGATCTAACTGTTTATAGCTATTTGTAGGCAGCTAATTTGATATGCTTCATATGGTAGCTAAATATTATTTAATTAAAAATTTGAAATTCTCTTCATAATTAATATGAGAAATCTCCTCCACTCTCTTTAATGAAAACTCCAGTTAACTTTTTGTTATCAGCTTCAATTTGTATATTTATTAACAATTTGTTTTTAAAATTATTTAACAATTTTGTTTTTCATGCGCGAATCAACACGGAAATGTTATTCAAAAAAATGAGAACGGAATTGGCCAAAAGCGCTGGAAGAGTATTCGATCAATCAATCAATCAATGCTCCGTTTAATGCTACATAAATATGTTTTCTCTTTTTGTTTTGTTTCCTTGTAGGCTTAATTTAAGTTTTACATTTTAGAATTACAAACGCACATTGGGATTTCGGGAGCGCACAAAGTTGAGCAGCTCGTCGGAGTCCTCGCAGACGAAGGGCTTGATGTGATGGCAGGCGACATCGTGCCACTTGATGCCATCGTTGTAGAAGTTGTTCAGAATGGACAGGCAGCTCTCGTCGTTGCCCTGGGCCGCCTCACGATTGTCCGGCTGTGGCTGATTGTAGCCACCCGTTGACGACCAGTCGCCGGTGTTGCGCTGCGAGGTGGGGCCAATCTTGGCGCCCGAGCCGGACCAGAACCAGCCGTTCTCATTGGGCGGCTGCAGATCGGGCCTGTCGCAGCCAGCGAAGTTGCACTTTCTGCCCGAGGTCCAGATGTAGCGCACATTGCCGCGCGCAATGCGCTGCTTCACAAAGTCATTCTCCTGGGGCGTCTCGAGCGAAACGGCGTCCATGCAGTGCCGCCGGCAAATGTTGCGCGCATCCAGCCAGTCCACCTCCAGGCTGCGCGTCGGCGCATGCTCCCAGCTGAAGAAGTATGAGTGCGAGACGCCTCGGGCATCGCGATAGGTGGCATGTCGCACACGATTGGCGCAGCTGCGCGGATCGGGCAGCGCCAGACGACGCTGGGCCAGCGCCACAGTGGCGCTCACTGCCACCAGCAGCAACGTGCGCAGCACAAACATTTCGCAGTAGGCTTGGCTCGGCTGTTAATCGACGGGAGAAGTAAAGCTGCAAACAAGTAAACAAAGTTATTTCGATTAGGCGCGAATTGAAACTGTTTTCAGTTTAGATTTTGGATTTATTTTCAGGTTCCCATTTTCATGTACTTTTCTGAGTATTTGCCGAGTGACCCAACGCCCAAAATGGTGCCCAACCCATTTCCATTTCCGCTTGGATGAGTCGACATCTTTTTATGCGAAATCAGTGATTGGAAATACCAGACCGATCCACTCAATAGGAATCGAACCGATTTTGAGCGATTTTGACTGTGTGTTTTGTTTGGCTTTCTATATGGAATTTGTCGCTGACAATTGTTCAATTTGTTCAATTCGCCTAATTGAGTAGTTTTTTCCATTCCATTTTGTAACGGCCTTGCAGTGCAGTCAGCCCTATTTCGTAATCAAAAGAATTTTATAATCAATCGCAAAAATTCTGCTTGACAACAACAGCTGATCCTCTGTCGATTTGTTTAATAACTGTGCATGCAAATTAGTTGATTGTTTTATGCTTTTATCTATTATAAGTTATGGCTTTACTCAGGCAAAATTGTATGCAAATTTTATGGTCTATTGATGACAGCTGCGCCACCTTTAAGACTCATCACACTTGCATGAGTCAATGGTCTTATATAAATATGTTTATTACAATTAGATCCGGCTTAAGCAGTTTTTTAAACATTTGTTAGGCAAATAAATTGGAAAAGAGGTGTATGAGCCATGCTAAAGCTATGCTAATAGGTAGGAGCTATATAAATTGACCTTGGATTTACATTGATGGGAGACTGTGAAATACCAGTTCGAACTTGAATATTACATAGTTGCATAGTTGAGACAGGAGTATTTTTAGCTCATCTGTTTTAGACTTAATGCAAGCTAAATGCATAAGAAAAGGAATAGGAAATTTGACAGCTCATTGCTGAACTGTTTCATTATACATGCATATAAAAGACAATTAAAAGAAATACTGTTCAAGACCCACTCTTCTACAAACATTCAAGTCTTGTCTCTGGCCAACTTTAGCTTCAATTTGAACAAACTTCAGTCCGTTCCCGCGTAAACTCTTGACCTTCGCCCAATTCCAACTGTAGTTCCACTCATAAAAACTGACCTGGCCCAATATAACACACAACAGCAGACCTCTTACACTAAACAACAAGAGAACTGGGCAGAGTGCCAACGCTCTCAGGCGGGGCACATGCCATGCCCGACAGTTTTCTAGCTCTGACACCGTCTGGGTTTGCATACCAAGTAAGACTTTATTTTTTCTTGGCTTTAATGGAGAAAGTTGCAGTGCTGTAGTTGCTGTTGTTGTTGCTGTTGTTGTTATTGCTGTAGCTGTTGGGCCATATATAACACACAGTTGGCTGAATATTCAGCTGTCCAACTTGACTCTTCCGTCTGATAACAGAGCTAACGACTTTGGTTTCGTTTCGTTTTGTTTAGCTTTGATTTTTTCGTAGTATTTTTTGCTTTTTACATTTTGTGCCACGCACAATTGTCTGCAACTTTTTTCTTTCAATATATATATATATATATATTTATTTT